ATCTGTCAGGCGTGATTTGAATGCAATATTCCTGCTTCTTGGCAGAATGGGGTTGGACTGGATGGCCCATGAGGTCTCTTCCAACTCTTGGATTCTAGGATTCTATGATTCTTGATCTGCATGTTCTCCCACAGGGAGGGCATCGGTTTTCAGGTGGAAGGCGGTCCCGGTCAGGGTTGGCTTGATGTGCCTTCCTCTTGGCACATTTCTCTCTTTCGCCCTCCATTCGTGCCTCTTCAAATTCTACAGCACTGCTGGTCACAGCTGACCTCCAGCTGGAGCGCTCAAGGGCCAGGGCTTCCCAGTTCTCAGTGTCTATGCCAGAGTTTTAAAGGTGGCTTTGAGCCCATCTTTAAATCTCTTTTCCTGCCCTCCATCATTGTTTTCCGTTCTTGAGTTCAGAATAGAACAACTGCCTTTGGAGACGGTGGTCGGGCATCCGGTCAACGTGCCGGTCCAGTGGAGTTGATGACGGAGGAGCATCGCTTCAATGCTGGTGGTCTTTGCTTCTTCCAGCATGCTGACATTTGTTGGACTAGGGTTCCAACAGACCTCACTACGTCTGAGGATGCTTGCCATAGATGCAGGCGAAACGTCAGGAGAGAATGCCTCTAGAACATGGCCATATAGCCCGGAAAAACCTACAACAACCCAGTGATCCCGGCCGTGAAAGCCTTCAACAATACAAGGCCAAAAATGCTAATCAAGGTGGCCAGTTGAAACATTCACACCTACCCCAAACAGACAAGAGTTCTTTCTCCCACCCCGGACATAATTCCACAGATATATATAAACCCCACTTGCTTAGTTTCCAACAGACCTCACGGCCTCTGAGGATGCTTGCCATAGATGTGGGCAAAATGTCAGGGGAGAATGCTTCTGGAACATGGCCAGACAGCCTGGAAAACTCACAACAACCCAAAAATGTGGGAATCGTGTAAGTTGTAGTCCAAAGCAAATTCAATAGATATATAAAGATATATATATGTCTAGTGCAATGGGGGGTAAGTTTGGATGACCTTTGAGGACCCCTTCCAACTTTAGGATTATCTGACAAGTCTCTGGATTTTTTTAAAAAAATTGGCTAACTGGCTCTTTGTTGGGAGGGCTTTGATGCTGCCTTCCTTCCTGCCTGGCATAAGGGGTTGGACTGGATGCCCTTTGGGGGACCCCTTCCAATTGTATAGACTTTTCTGAGGCCAAAAGGTGGCAGAGAGAAGGTTGCCTATTTCTTATTAACCGGTCGGCTTGGCCATCAGTCAAGAGAGGTTGGATTGTGCCCCAAAGCATGATACAACGGGGGTCAGATTGGATGGCCTTTGGAGAACCCCCTTCTAACTTTAGGATTGATTAGGAGTGTGGTGGAGTCTCTGGAATTTTTTAAGGCTTTGATAGTGCCTTTCTTCCTTTCTGGCAGAAAGGGGTGGACTAGATGCCCTTTGGGGATCCCTTCCCAACTCTTATGGGCTTCTCTGGGGCCAGAAGGTGGCAAAGAGACCCCTTATTTTGCCTCTCTCTTAACAGGACACATTATTTTAAACAGGAGCTTTCATTCCTTCCTTCCATTCATTCATCCTTCCACCCTCCGTGCTTGGCAGAAAGGGATGGACTAGGTGCCCTTTGGGGGACCCACCCCCATTCTTGTAAGTTTCTCTGGAGTAGTAAGTTGGCAAAGGGACCCCCTCTATTGCCTCTTTCTTAATAGGACACTTATTAACCTGCCCAGGTGGCCATCAATCAAGAGGGGTCGGATTGTGCACCCACACCTGATACAATGGGGGTCAGATTAGATGACCTTTGGGGATACCCCTCCAACTTAAGTGGAGCTTGGTAGAGTCCCTAGATTTAAAAAAAAGGGCTAGGCTTTGATGGTACCTTCCTTCCTTCGATCTTTCCTTCTCTTTCTTTCCTTTCTGTCTTTCCTTCTTTATTTTCTTCCCCTTCTCTCTTTCCTTCCTTTTCTTCCCTTCCCTTTCTTCCTTTTCTTTCCTCTTTCCTTCCTTCTCTTTCCCTATTTTCTTCCCTCTTTCCTTCCTTTCCTTCCCCCTTATCTTCCCTTCCTTCCTTCTCTCTTTCCTTCCCTTTTTTCTTCCTTCTTTCTCTCTCTCAATCCTTCTTTTTCTTTCCTCCTCTCTCTTTCTTTCTTTCCTCTTTGCTCCCTCCCTAATTCGCAGAAAGGGGCCGGACTAGATGCCCTTTGGAGGACCCCTTCCTGACTCTTCTTGGCTCCTCTTTGTCCAGGTGATGGCAAAGGGAGCCCCTTCTTTTCCATCTCTCTTAATAGCACACTTATTATTACAGGTATTTAAAACAGGTACTGGGCTTTGATTATGCCTTCCTTCCATCTGTCTCTTTCCTTCATTCTTCCTCCTTCCTCCCCTCTTTCCTTCTCTTTCTTTCCTTCATTCCTTTCCTCCTCTCTTTTTCCTTTCTTTCTTTCTTTCCTTCCTCCCCTCTTTCCTTCTTTCTTTCCTCCCTTCTCTTTCTTTCCTTCTCTCTCTTTTCCTCCCCTTTCCTTCTTTCTCTTTCCTTCTTTCTTCTTTCTCCTTATTCCTTCTCTCTTTCCTTCCTTCCTTTCCTCCCCTTTTTCCTTCTTTCTTTTCTTCCTTCTCTTTCCTTCCTCCCCTCTTTCCTTTCTTTCTTCCTTCTTCCTTTCCCCTCTCTTTTTCTTTCTTTCTTTCCTTCCTCCCTTTTCTTTTCTCCCTCCCCTTCTCCTTCTCCTTTCTCCTCTCTCTCTTTCTCCCCTTTCCTTCTTTCTCTTTCCTCTTTCTCCTCTTCCTTCTCTTTCCTTCCTTCTTCCTCCCCTTTTTCCTTCTTTCTTCTTCTTTCTCTTCCTTCCTCCCTCTTTCCTTCTTCTTTCTCTCTCCTCTCCTTTCTTTCTTCTTTCCTTTTCCTTCTTTCTTCCTTCTCCCTTCTTCTTTCTTTCTTCTTCCCTTCTATCTTTCCTTCCTTCCTTTCCTTCCCTCTTTCCTTCCTTCTTTCTTCTCCTCCTTTCCTTCCTTTCTTTCTTCTTTTTTTCCTTCTTCTTCCTTCCTTCTTTCCTTCTTTCCTTCCTTTCTTCTTTCCCTTCCTTCCCTTTCCCTTCTTCTTTCTTCCTTCCTCCTTTTCCTTCTTTCTTCTTTTCCTTCTTCTCTTCCTTCCTCCCTCTTTCTTCTTCTTTCTTTCCTCCCTTCTCTTTCCTCCTCTTTCTTTCTTTTCTTCCTCCCCCTTTCCTTCTTTCTTCTTTTCCTTTCCTCCTTTCGTCCCTTTCTTTCTTTCCTCCCTTTTTCCTTCCTTCTCTAACTTTCCTTCCTTTCCTCCCCTCTTTCCTTCTTTCTCTCTTTCTTTCCACTCCCTTTTCCTTCTTCCTTCTTTCCTTTCCTCCTCTCTTTCTCCCCTCTCTCCTTCCCTCCCTAATGCACAGAAAAGGGTCCGACTAGATGCCCTTTGGAGGACCCCTTCCCAACTCTCCTAGGCTCTTCTTTCTCCAGCTGGCGGCAAAGGGAGCCCCTTCTTCTCCCTCTTATTATAATTAGTATTATTGAGGGGCCCTTATTTTCTTCCCTCTCTCTTTCCATTCTTATAACTCCCCCCAGCGCTTTCCTCCTTTCCTTCCTTCTCTTCCCTTCCTTCTTTCCCTCTTTTCCTTCCATCCTTTCTTCCTTCCATCATTCTTTCATTCCTCCCTTCCTTCTCCTTCCTTCCTTCCTTCCTTCCTTCCTTCCTTTCTTCCATCGTTCTTTCCTTCCTTCCCCTTTTCCCTCCTTCTTTCCTTTCTTTCTTCCTTTTTGCTTCCCTCTTCTCTCTTCCTTCCTTCCTTCCTTCTTTCCTCCCTCCCTCCTCTCCTTCCTTCTCTCTTTCCTTTCTTCCTTCTTTTTTCCTTCCCTCTTTCTCTTTCCTTCCTTCTCTCTAGTCTTCTTTCTCTCCTTTCTCCCTCCTTTTCTTCTTTCTCCCCTCTCTTCTTCCTTCCCTAATTCACAGACAAGGGGCCAGACTAGATGCCCTTTGGGGGACCCCTTTCCCATCTCTCCTACTCTCCTCTTTCTCCAGCTGGCGGCAAAGGGAGCCCCTTCTTCTCCCTCTTATTATTATTATTGGGGGAGGGGGTTCCTGTCCTCCTCCTTCTTCCTTCTTTCCCCCTCCCTTTCTTTCTCTTTCCTTTCTTTCTTTCCTCCCCCTTTTCCTTCTCTCTTTCTTCCTTTCCCTTCCCTTCCTTCTCTCTTTCCTTTTTCTTACCTCCCCCTTTCCTTCTCTCTTTCCTTTTCCTCCTCTTTTTCCTTCTTTCTTCCTTTCCTTCCTTCTCTAACTTTCCTTCCTTTCCTCCCCTTTCCTTCTCTCTCTTTCTTTCCCGTTCCTTTCTTTCTTTCCTCCCCCTTTTCCTTCTCTCTTCCTTCCTTCCTTTCCTTCCTTCACTTTCCTCTCCTCTTTCTCTCTTTCCTTTTCCTCCTCTTTTTCCTTCTTTCTTCCTTTCCTTCCTTCTCTAACTTTCCTTCCTTTCCTCCCCTCTTTCCTTCTCTCTCTTTCTTTCTCCTTTCTTTCTTTCCTCCCCCTTTTCCTTCTCTCTTTCTTCCTTCCCTTCCCTTCCTTCTCTCTTTCCTTTTTCTTACCTCCCCCTTTCCTTCTCTCTTTCCTTTTCCTCCTCTTTTTCCTTCTTTCTTCCTTTCCTTCCTTCTCTAACTTTCCTTCCTTTCCTCCCCTTTCCTTCTCTCTTTCTTTCCCGTTCCTTTCTTTCTTTCCTCCCCCTTTTCCTTCTCTCTTCCTTCCTTCCTTTCCTTCCTTCACTTTCCTCTCCTCTTTCCTTCTTCCCTCTCTTCTTCCTTCCCTAATTCACAGACAAGGGGCCAGACTAGATGCCCTTTGGAGGACCCCTTTCCCATCTCTCCTACTCTCCTCTTTCTCCAGCTGGCGGCAAAGGGAGCCCCTTCTTCTCCCTTTTATTATCATTACTATTATTGGGGGTCCCTTCCTCTCCTTCTTCCTATTCCTCCTCCTCCTTCCCTCCCTCCCTCCCTTTCAAGGCGGTTCCCCTTTATTTCGGGTCGGTCGCGGGGCGTCTGCGCGTTGCAGCTGCGGCGGGGCGAGGAGGAGCCTCCGCCTGGAAGAAGGGAAGGGAGGAAGGAAGGAGAAGGAGGAGAAAGAGGAGGAAAAGGAGCCGCCCCTCCAAGCGGCGCAGGAGAGCCAGGCTTCCCCTCTCTTGCTTCCCTTCCCATTTGCCGCATCCTGCAGCCCGGTGATGAGCCTGGGCCGGCCTGCCGAGGCGGGGGATGATGGGCTCTGTAGTCGGGGCCTCCTCCCCGCTAATTCTCCTTGGTTTCCAAGCCACGTGCAGGTGGGGGCCTTGGGGGCGAGGGGCCTGCGGGGCAAAGGCGGCCTGCCAGCCGGGGACGCCTTCGCTTTGCTCCAGCTGGGCAGGCAGAAGGTCCGCACCGCCGTCTCCACCGACCGCAGCGGCTGCCCGAGATGGGACGCCCCGCCCTGGGCTTTGGAGCTGCCGTCCGCGCCGGGCACGCAGTCCGAACTGCAGCAGACTCAACCTCAAAGCCAAAGCCAAGAAGAGGAAGGCAACGACGCCCTCTTGCTGCGGGTGACGGTACTGCAGCGCGCTCTGGTCGGGATGGACCGCTTCCTCGGCGCCGCCGCCCTGCCGCTAGGGGGCCTCCTCCGCACCGCGGGAAGGGAGCCGCACACACAGTGAGTCTAGGCACAGCTACTCCTAGGCAGGCTGCGGCCTACTCAGGACTGACTTCCTCTTGCTTTGGACTCCAACTCCCACCATTCCTCACAGCCTCAAAGGGGGGGGGAAGGGTCCTGAGGCTGTGAGGAATGGTGGGAGTTGGAGTCCAAAGCAATAGGAAGGCCCAAGCCTGCATTAGAAGGCTTTCCCCCACTGCATGTCCCAGTATCCACATCTCTATGGGGAAGAGAGGCTTCCTGAGTGTACCAGTGAGTTTCCCCCACTGCATGTCCCAGTATCCACATGATAAGAGCTTCCCCCACTGTATGGCCCAGTATCCACATGATAAGAGCTTCCCCCACTGTATGGCCCAGTATCCACATCCCTATGGGGAAGAGAGGCTTCCTGAGTGCACCAGTGGGTTTTCCCCAGTGCATGGCCCAGTATGGGGGAGAGAGTGCCCTTGAGTCATTGCAAAGAATGCCTTGGCTGTATGGAAGGGTTTCCAGGACTGCTTGTCCCAGTATCCATGTCTCTATGGGGAAGAGGAGCTTCCTGAGTCATTGCAGAGTCACTGGGACAGTCATTGCATGTCCCAGTATCCATGCAGTCATGGAAACCTGAGCCATTGCAGAGTGTACCTAGTTGCATAGAAGGATTCTCATGACTGCATGTGCCAGTATCCACAGCTGTATGTCATTGCAGTGTGTACCTGGTTGCTTATGACTGCATGTCCCAGTATCCATGCAGTCATGGAAACCTGAGCCAATACAGAGTGTACCTGGTTGCATAGAAGGATTCTCATGACTGCATGTGCCAGTATCCACAGCTGTAGGTCATTGCAGTGTGTACCTGGTTGCTTATGACTGCATGTCCCAGTATCCATGCAGTCATGGAAACCTGAGCCATTGCAGAGTGTACCTGGTTGCATAGAAGGATTCTCATGACTGCATGTGCCAGTATCCACAGCTGTATGTCATTGCAGTGTGTACCTGGTTGCTTATGACTGCATGTCCCAGTATCCATACAGTCATGGAAACCTGAGCCATTGCAGAGTGTACCTGGTTGCATAGAAGGATTCTCATGACTGCATGTGCCAGTATCCACAGCTGTATGGGGTAGAGAGGCTTCCTGAGTCATTGCAGAGTGTACCTAGCTGTATAGAAGGATTCCCATGACTGCATGTCCCAGTATCCATGCAGTCATGGAAACCTGAGCCATTGCAGAGTGTACCTGGTTGCATAGAAGGATTCCCATGACTGCATTTCACAATATCCACAACTGTATGGGGAGGAGAGGCTTCCTGAGTCAATGCAGAGTGTACCTAGCTATATAGAAGGATTCCCATGACTGCATGTCCCAGTATCCATGCAGTCATGGAAACCTGAGTCATTGCAAAGTGTACCTGCTTGCATATAAGGGTTCCTCCCACTGTATGTCTCAGTATCCATAGCTGTATGGGGAAGAGAGGCTTCCTGAGTCCGTGTAGTGTGTACCTGGTTGCTTATGACTGCATGTCCCAGTATCCACAACTCTATGAGGAAGAGAAGGCACTTGAGTCACTGCAAAGAATGCATTGGCTGTATGGAAAAGTTTCAAGGACTGCATATCCCAGTAGACATGTCTCTATGGGGAAGAGAGGCTTCCTGAGTCATTGCAGTGTGTACCTGGTTGCCTATGACTGCATGTCCCAGTATCCACATCTCTATGGGGAAGAGAGTGCTCTTGAGTCATTGCAAAGAATGCCTTGGCTGTATGGAAGAGTTTCCAGGACTGCATGTCCTAGTAGACACGTTTCTATGGGGAAGAGAGGCTTCCTGAGTCATTGCAGAGTGTACCTGGCTGTATAGAAGTATTAACTGAGGAAGAGAGGCTTCCTGAGTCATTGCAGTGTGTAGCTGCATGCTTATGACTGCATGTCCCAGTATCCACATCTCTATGGGGAAGAGAGTACTGTGCAATGACTCAGGAGGCCTCTTTTCCCCATAGAAAAGTGGATACTGAGACATGCAGTCCTGGAAAGCCTTCCATGCAGCCAAGGCATTCTTTGCAAGGACTCAGGAGGCCTCTCTCCCCCACAGAGATGTGGAAACTGGGACATGCAGTCATGGGAATCCTTCCCATGGGAGGAACCCTTCCATACAACCGAGGGCGCTTTGCAATGACTCAAGAGCACTCTCTTCCTCACTACAGGCGTGGATACTGGGACATGCAGTAGGAGGAACCCTTCTATGCAACCAGGTACACTCTGCAATGACTCAGGAAGCCTCTCTTCCCCATAGAGATGTGGATACTGGGACATGCAGTGGGGGAAACCCTTCTATACAGCCAGGGGTGCTTTGCAATAACTCAGGAGGCCTATTTTCTTCTGCACGATGTGTCTGATAGGATATGCAGTCTATATTGCCAGGGGCTGCTCTGCAATGACTCAAGAGTAGGCCCAGGCCTACTTCCCCCACTGCATGTCCCAGTATCCACGTCTCTATGAGGAGGAGAGGCTTCCTGAGTCATTGCAGTGTGTACCTGGTTGCTTATGACTGCATGTCCCAGTATCCACAACTCTATGGGGAAGAGAGGCCTCCTGAGTCATTGCAAAAAATGCCTTGTCTGTATGGAAGGGTTTCCATGACTGCATGTCCCAGTATGCACATCTCTATGGGGAAGAGAGGCTTCCTGAGTCATTGCAGAGTGTGCCTGGCTATACAGAAGGGTTTCCCCCACTGCATGTCCCAGTATCCACAGCTGTATGGGGATGAGAGTGCTCTTGAGTCATTGCAAAGAATGCCTTGGCTGTATGGAAGGGTTTCCCCTACTGCATGTCTCAGTATCCACAGCTGTATGGGGAAGAGAGTGCTCTTGAGTCATTGCAGAGCAGCCCCTGGCAATATAGACTGCATATCACATCAGACACATAGTGCAGGAGAAAATAGGCCTCCCCAGTCATTGCAAAGCACCCCTGGCTGCGTAGAAGGGTTCCCATGACTGCATGTTCCAGTATCCACAGCTGTATGGGGAAGAGAGGCCTCCTGAGTCATTGCAGAGTGTACCTAGCTGTATAGAAGGATTCCCATGACTGCATGTCCCAGTATCCACATCTCTATGGGGAAGACAGGCTTCTTGAGTCATTGCAGAGTGCACCAGTGGGTTTCCCCCACTGCATGTCCCAATATCCACATCTCTATGGGGAAGAGAGGCCTCCTGAGTCATTGCAGAGTAGCCCCTGGCATCATAGACTGCATATCCCATCAGATACAAAATGCTGAAAAAAATATGTGTCCTGAGTCATTGCAAAGCACGCCTGGTTGCATAGAAGGGTTTCCCCCACTGCATGTCCCAGTATCCACATCTCTATGGGGAAGACACACTTCTTGAGTCATTGCAGTGTGTACCTGGTTGCTTATGACTGCATGTCTCAGTATCCACAACTCTATGGGGAAGAGAGGTTTCCTGGGTCATTGCAAAGAATGCCTTGGCTGTATGGAAGGGTTTTCCCCACTGTATGTTCCAGTATCCACATCTCTATGGGGAAGAGAGGCCTCCTGAGTCATTGCAGAGTGTACCTGGCTGTATAGAAGGATTCTCAAGACTGCATGTCCCAGTATCCACAGCTGTATGGGGGAGAGGGGCCTCTTGAGCCATGGCAGAGTGTGTCTGGTGGCATAGAAGGGTTTCCCCCACTGTATGTCTCAGAATCCACATCTCTATGGGGAAGAGAGTGCTCTTGAGTCATTGCAGAGCAGCCCCAGGCAATATAGACTGCATATCCCATCAGAAAATAGGCCTTCCCAGTCATTGCAGAGTGCCCCTGCTGCGTAAAAGGGTTTCCCCCACTGCATGCTCCAGTGTCCACAACTCTATGACGAAGAGAGGCTTCCTGAGTCATTGCAGAGTGCACCAGTGGGTTTCCCCCACTGCATGTCCCAGTATCCACATCCCTATGGGAAAGAGAGGCCTTCTGAGTCATTGCAGTGTGTACCTGGTTGCCTATGACTGCATGTCCCAGTATCCACAACTCTATGGGGAAGAGAGGCCTCCTGAGTCATTGCAGAGTGTACCTAGATGTATAGAAGTATTATCATGACTGCATGTCCCAGTATCCACATCTCTATGGGAAAGAGAGTGCTCCTGAGTCATTGCAAAGAATGCCTTGGCTGCATGTCCCAGTATCCACGCCTCTATGGGGAAGAGAGGCTTCCTGAGTCATTGCAGTGTGTACCTGGTTGTCTATGACTGCATGTCCCAGTATCCACAACTCTAGGGGGAAGAGAGGCCTCCTGAGTCATTGCAGAGTGTACCTGGTTGCATAGAAGGGTTCCTCCCACTGCATGTCCCAGTATCCACACCTGCATAAGGAAGAGCTCCCAGTATACACGTCTGTATGAGGAGGGGAGGCCTCCTGAGTTATTGCAAAGAATGCCTTGGCTGCATGGAAAGATTTCCATGACTATGTCCCAGTATCCACACCTGTAATGAGGAAGAGAATGCTCTTGAGTCATTGCAGGGCAGCCCCAGGTAATATAGACTGCATATCCCATCAGACAGGAGAAAATAGGCCTCCCGAGTCATTGCAAATCACCCCTGGCTGCGTAGAAGTTTCCCCCACTGCATGTCCCAGTATCCACGTCTCTATGGGGAAGAGAGGCCTCCTGAGTCATTGCAGAGTGTACCTGGTTGTATAGAAGGGTTCCTCCCACTGCATGTCCCATCAGCCACATCTTATGTGTCTTCATGAGGAGGAGAGTACTTCTGAGCCTGTGCAGAGAGCCCTCACTGTGTGTGTGTTGGGAGTCCTCTTCTGCAGAGAGGCCACACCATACTTTGGAACACATATGATGCATGGCCCAGTATCCACAGCTGTATGGGGAAGAGAGTGCTCTTGAGTCATTGCAAAGAATGTCTTGGCTGTATGGAAGGGTTTCCATGACTGCATGTCCCAGTGTCCACATCTCTATGGGGAAGAGAGGCTTCCTGAGTCATTGCAGAGTGTACCTAGCTGTATAGAAGGGTTTCCAGGACT